AGGTCTCTGCCCCACCATGGCCCTCCATGGCTGCAGGGCACAGCCTGCCCTCTCCCCACAGGCTGCCATGGAATCTCTGCTCCGGTGCCTGGAGCTCTTCCTCTCCCTCCTTCACCACCGACCTTGGTGTCTGCAGCAGTGTCCCTCACACACTCTCACTCTATTCCTCCAGCTGCTGTTTCCCAGAAGCTGTGGGGTTTTGTACCCATTTCTTAAACACGTTACCCCAGAGGCACTACCACCGTCGCTAGTGGGCTCAGCCTTGGCCAGGGGCACATCCCTCTTGGAGCCAGCTGGCATTGGCTCTGTCGGACACAGGGGAAGCTTCTAGCAGCCTCTCACAGAAGCCACCCCTGTAGCCCCCCAGCTACTAAAACCTTGCCATGCCAAGCCCAGTACAGGAGTCTATGAAAACTAAATGGAAATACGTAACAGAAAAATAAGTCACAAAGCGCTTATTGTGGTCAAGTTCCAGCTTCAGCCAAGGGCTGACAGGCCGGCTTGAAACGGCCGGTGGGGTTGGAAGCAGAAAGGCATGCACACAGGTGGGAGCTGGAGGTTGAATGTGGAGCCCCGTGAAAAATTCTCGCTATCGTTACGTCCCTACAAAATGTAAGCATTTTGTTTAGGAAAAAAAGTTGGGAGCAATTTGTTCAGTAAGGTAGAAGAGGTCAACTTTTCTTACTTTGCAGCTGTGTTTTACTTCAAAAACAATTTTACCTTTTGTTTATTTGAAGTAGATACTTACGTGCCATTTACTCCTGACCATCACTGGTCTGTGTGATCAGATAATATACCAAGTACTTACGGGCAAGCTACATCACGTATACAATACCTGCCACAAATTAGTTGCTAAATAGAACACAAATTATCATGCTAGTTGCTAATTGCTAATTTTAGAAATGTCTAAATACCACTCAGAATAATAATAAACAAATTAATTACTGGTTGGAATATCAATCCCTAAGTACTTTGTTTGCATCATAATTTAAAAACAACAATGGAATTATCATTTTTAACACCATGTGGTAAAATTAACATGAAATGAAATATATTTGCCCCAGAATTGCTTTCATTTTGAAAGAAAATTGTTGCTAATGAGAAATTGCAAAATTTTCTCCTTTGAACTTAATGAGACTTTTCCTTGTGTATGTGCTTTTACATGGAGAGTTTCCTGTAAATGAAGATAATTATTTTCAACAAGAAACAAATAGGATTGTTACAAAATAGTTGGTGAGTGTTTGAAAATCTTCAAAGTGGTGGAATCAAGTTCCTATTTTATCCGCAGTGCAGCAAGTTATGGAAATGTCTGGTTGCCTTTGGTGATAATTACTATTACATTAGTATCACATCAGTGAAATGTTTTGAAAATTTATGGGAAAACCTTCATATAGCCATCAGGAGCTCTTTTAGATGTTATGAATGTTAGCAGGTACTTGTTTTACTGTAGTATTTGGGAGTAGTCATATACTAGGATGCAAAGGATAGACCCAAAGGATGACTTTGCTGCAGCTGCTTGGAAAGCAGATCTTCTCAGTCAGATTGTTCGCTCCTGATGCTCACTTTGGGTGTGTTACTTACTATTCTGTTTACAAGGCACTCTGCAGAGGGTTTGGCAAGAAGTAGTGATTATGCAAACTGCTGTTTTTCCAGTTTTTTAGATGTTAATGCTCACTTGAAATTTTCATTAAGCTCTTTCACGTGAAATGTGAGATACAGAGCATTTCCTATAATAACACAACTGCTATAGAATGAGTGACTTCTGGTGAGAGGGTATGGAGTATGTCTATCTTCTTCATCAGAGAAATCAAATGAAGAAAAAATGAAGGTTTAAGTTGTTTCTGAAAGTGAATTAATTTGCAATTTTGATCTTTATAAATAAAAATATGTAATATGTAGGTGTTTTGAAGAACAAGCCTCCTGAAATAAAACCAGGTCAATTTGTTGAAAGTCTTGTTACTATACATAGCTTTACACATTTTTGGACCACTGTTTTAAAATCCTTTTATAACATTCTGTTGTAAGAAAATGTTGCCCAAATGCAGATGAGCTGGTTCCTCAACAATAATTGTGCAGTGGGATTTGTGGGCTTTGTTTGCTGCTTTTCTTTTCAGATACATATAGTGTGCAAAATATGCCACATTGTGATGACAGCTACTTTTGTTTGTTTTTGTAGGGTTGACTCAAAGATCATTTCATCCTGCAAGCATCAGTGAGGAAGATCTGCATAGAATTGCTCCTGAGGGGAAACATGTCTGAGATTGACTATGAGAAGTTAGCTGAAATAGGTAAATATTTTTTATTATACTTCAGATGGCATCTGTGTAGAGTTACAGGTGATTTAATAGATCATCTTCGGTAAGTGAGAGGCTTCACCAGCATTTTGTAATACTTCTTGGAGCAATCCAGGGTGAGTTACAGCAGCTGTACTGATGTGTACCTTATTAAAGCCATTAGGGTTGAAGGTTAGTTTAATACATGCAGCTTTTATGAGTTATTGGTAGATGTTCCTAGTGCGATTCTAGGCTGTTGGAATATCACCGTCATCACATATTGTGGCACAAATGGGAGTCATTACTCCAAAGAGACGGGTCTTGAATGAACATAGAGATTGCTGTGTTGCGTGTTGTCTCCAAAGACGTTGGTCGAGCTGAGCAGGATGACCATGGCACTAGGGGCCTTACCCTCCTCTTAGCTCCTTTTCCCCATGTCATGCCTTTCAGCAGCAGCAGGCTGGCTTGTTATTACTAGGCCTGGTTCAAAATCCACTGACAGCAATTTTCCGTGGAAAGCTCTGGATCAGGCCCCTCGTGTTGTCTCCCAGCCTGGGCTGAAGAGTGGGAACAGTGGGAGCAGGAACAGATGATCCTCTGCTACGGCTCATGGAGCAGGGCAATAAACTCCTCTATCATGTGCGGGAGAAAAATGGAGCTGAGCTCTCCCTCAGTTTGGAACAATGAATCGTCTTTATTTGTGTTTATTGTCAAACATCTCTGGAGCTCCCAGTCCTCTTGCTCTTGTTTGGTTTGCTGTGGGTTTCGTTTGGTTTGGGTTGGTGTTTTTGGTGTGGGTTTGCCTTTTTTTTTAATGTGTGTGTGTGTTTTGGTTGTTTTATTGTTTGGGTTGTTTGTTTGGTTTTTTTAAGGGGAAAAGAAAAAGAATATGCAAAGAATTCTCATACTAGGTTAGGGTTAAGTAGCTTTTCAGTAGGTGTTGGGTCTTCTTTAGTCCCTGTGAATAACCGTAGTACAAACAGGCATGTGTTTACTTTGCATCTGTAGTTCTTTGCTACATCTCAAAGCTGGATGGCTGGATATCTGTACTTCTTCACAAATCCTACCCCTGATTTTTGGAACTGGGTCTGTTTTTATACAGTACAAAATAATTGTTTACAGAAGGAGTTAGCCTCTGCCGCTCCCTACTGAAGGCTGTAGTTAACATACTGGTTGTGTTTAACTTGAATATACATTTTACTTTTAGTAAAGCCTGTTACGTTGCAGAGGATTCTGGTAAATGGTTCACAGGTCCTGCTTCACATCCCCACAGAGCAGCATTTTTGTTTCATTTTCTCTGTCCCCTTTGCAACATTTTTGTTACTTTAAGTGTTTACAGTGCTCGGACATGAAAAAGCAACAATAGAAAAAGAAACTATGAAATAAAATAATGTTTTCCTTGTTCTGAGTTTTAAGATGACTTAAATATCTAAAAAAGGGGAAAATAGTGAAATTTATTTACTGCATTATGTTTGTATTATTATTTCTAGCTCTTTCGACAGTAACATTCTTTAAAGAGAAAGGATACTTTTCGAGTTGGGGTTATTGTAGCTGTTCATATATGTTACACTTTTAAAGGTTAGAAAAATACACGTTTTGGAGATGATTATAAAAATTTTAACTTGTTTTATGTGTATGAGGAGGACTCTAATGATGTATTTCTAAAAGCAGTTATATGTTTTTCCTATAGGACTACTGATATATTTTCTGAGGAAACTTTAATGTGAATTCAGACATAAAGAAATGTAAAAGTAGTACATATGCTCTTGACTCCTCCTTGTCTTTGAGAAGCCCAGCCACTAGTGGCGTTTTTATCTGTGTGAAATGCATTTTTGGTACAAATCATGTTAAGTATAAAAATGGGACAATAAAGCTTTCATGTGGTTGTTTATAGGATAGAAGGATACTGGGAAAATGTGAGTGGAAAGCATTCAGAAGTATTTAGTTAGGAGTTTTTTTCTAGCACTTATTAGCTACTGGCACATAAATCTCGCTGAAATCAATACTTAATATATTCTCTCTGCCCTAGTGCTTTTTGTGTGGTGGTGGAGGGTATGAAATAAGCAGGTGAACAGAAGGCAAAATATTTTTTAAATACTTTTTCAAGTGGCACTAATAATGCTATAGATAAAGCTGTAATTCTTCCTTATAAAAGGTGGTGTGATAAGAGATGGATGATGTACAGGGGATTGTGCACCTTATCAGAGCTTTAATTTTTCTTTTTACCTGTACCTTTTCTTCTTTTAAGCCACCAAGACCCTTGTGTGGAAATGTGTCAATATAATATTATTCCAGTCACTATCTAGAAGGCTATTCATTTGAATGGTGTAGGAATGTTAGCAACAGTAATTATCTCACGGTCTGTGTTCATTTGGACGTGTAGTTAGGATTACCTCTTTTTGAACCTTAATGACAGTTTGGAATAAAACCAAACCAAACCTTCCGTAGCAAGATTGATTGATCGTGTTGCTCGGAACAAGATTGATTGATCGTGTTGCTCGTTACAGTGCAGAGTAGATTTTTTTACCTCAAGGATCTAGTCCAGAATCTACTGAAGTTGTGGGACGGATGCCCATTGAGCAGACTTTTGCCCCGATGCTTGGCCTCTAGCTGAAATACTTGCTGGGATGGACATTGGGCTGTCTTGCCTATTGCACCTTCAGGATGTTAAGGGATTTCAAGGAAACTCTGGATTTTGGGGGAGGTGAGATGGAGATTTGTTTGCAATATGCTACCTTTATGCAAAGCAATGAGTCTGCTCTCTGAGAGCATTCACGGGGGGTGTTAATGTGGAGTAGCCGTGTCAGTGCACAACAAGCAGATTGTGGGAGTGCAGGAGATGATGAGGCAACACCAGCAGTTGTGAATAGCAAGGTCACAACAGCATGCTGTCTGTCCAGTCAGGCGAGATTTTTGTAAGCATCACAGAAGATAGTAATCCTAAGGAGGATGTGAGGGTAGCTGGGAGGTGTCAAAGGGATGCTCTCCCCACGTGTGAGAAAGGGGGATGAGAAAGAAGCCAATTCGAAACTGCAACAAATGGCGTTTAATAAAGGCCTGTGTTTTTGTCAAACTGAGCTAAAATTCAACCCTTTAATAATGTATCAGATGCAAAAGTTTTCCTGTGTTCATTAGCACATCAGCATTCTTGCTTGCTCCTTCAGAACTGCAGAAGGATGAAGCAGAAGATACGCCGTCAGAACAGGGAGAAACATATATACCTCCACTGCTTGAGGATCCTGAGCTGAATATCAATCACCCTTACTACGATGTTGCGAGACATGGCATCATCCAGCTGGCAGGTACGTTAGGAAAAATACTACGGCTCCATGCGTTCTAGACCCCTTATCCTGTTTTTCTTACTGTACTCCTCAAGGTGATGCATAGGAATCATGTTGATGCTTTCAGCCTTCATCCTGAAAAGCAGCTGAATAGTAACATGTGAACTCAGTGCTTTTCTACAGATGAATTATGAGCCAAATACTTGATCTTGATCTTGCTTTAAAATATAGCTATGGCACTATTTTATAATCTAAGGCCTAACTGTGGCTGTAACAGATCTGTACTTTATTTGTGCTAAGCTGTTTTGTTTTCTGAATAACCTGAAGTGTTGTGTAGCCACATGTAATCATTTTTCTATTCCGCCCTGGAAAGGGCGTGCAACTGTGCAGAGACAGGGATTACTGTATGAAAGCTAACAAAAGGCAGAAGGGAAACTGTTGGGGTTAATGTTAACTGCATTTACCACCTGACTTTTTGTTATGACTTGGAGAGAAGCTATGCGTACGTCGCGTATTTGATTATTGGATAATTTAATGTTTACAGCTATTTATTTTTAGAACACTCTGGCAACATTTAAGACAGGCCGGCATATTTATGACATAAAAGCAATGTTTTAAAGTACTCATTGCATATTTTTTTTTTCTTTTGGCTTATTTTTGACATCAATGAGCTTGTTAAAATAGCATTAATAATCCCAGTCCTGAACGAAGGAAATGTATACACTAAGAAACAAAAAGCTGTATTTAACACTGCTCATCCTGGTGAAGTCTAAGATGGTGTTCTATTCTGTACAATGTTTGTACCTCATACTTCAGTGAGCTTAGATTATGACTTTTCAGTAGAACGATGAACTCAGGTTGTACATATGGACCTTCCTGAATTTGAGCCATAAATAGGGTGTCATCCAGGTGAATCTGAACTTCAGCAAAACCAGCCCTCTAGTGAGGTATGAGTGACAAGGCCAGTGAAATCCGTGGTAATTTGACTTCTGAGTATAGTGAGAGGAAAATTTTACCCATAATACCTTCTTGAAGCTAGTTATACACAGGATAATAATTACCTTTTACCTTCTTTAAAACTAGTCCCTCAACGTAAGACTCAAATCCATAAAGAAGGGAATAACATTCACATTCTTGTGCTTCAAAATTTACTACCTGCTAACCCACTGGGATGTTTCTCACTCAGACACCAGTTTTGGGATGGGGGAAATACTGACATAGCAAAGTTATTAATGCAACCATTGAAGTCAGACTGACAAAGTGTGAAATAAGATGTGTTAACAGACACCCCACAGTCACTGTAACTGTCCATCTTCTGTATTAGACAGTGCTGCATGACAGTGCTTTAAAGGAGATCTTCAAGACTCTTTTTCTCCTGCTGGTATACTCAGTGTCAAATGGTGATGGGCCGTGTATTTACTGCTTCAACTTTCATCATGAACAACTCTTTAGTGAATGTTTGTTGTTGCTCTTTGTTCTTCATTCCCTCAAAGCTGCCCTGGAAGTCATAAGCACCGGCTATTTGTCTGGTTTACCTGGTGTTAATTCTGAAAGGGTCCTTGTGTGTTTATTTTCCATGGAGGAACCATCGTCATTTTTGCAGCTATGGGCAGAGCTCCTGGACAATGAGCTGAAACCCCCTATGATAGGGGCAAAGGGGATGAGTTGGCAATCTTAGTAAGTTCACTTCAACTGACCAGAAGACATTCCCTGCTGATTTAAAATAAATAAAGAAATTTATAAATAAATAAATAAAATAAAATAAAAAAGGTATATAATAAAAAATATAATATATAAAAAGAAATAAATAAAGATTACTTACTGCCTAGGCAAACAAAACTGTAACTTTCATAGTCTCAGAAGGACTCTGAGTTAAAATGGTGGGGGAATTCAACAAAAGGGGAAAATTTTCTGAAATACACTGGAACAACTCCTTTTAAAGTTCATGCTGATGGTGAAACAGAGGGTGTGTGATGGGGACAGAATGATAACCAGCCTGCCCTTTCTTGAGCAGTCCTGCCTGGCCTGGCTTCATCTTACACGCGTGCCTTATTCCTGTGTTAGAAAATGGGAATGTGCTTCAGTATAGAGGGACAAAAGTTGCAGTGTTTTATCAAGAGACCTACCTATAGCTTCCACAGTTTCATCTTGGAACTTGCTCCATATCAGTGTTCGCTTGGAATAAAGTCCAAGCATTAGGTATACTCCTTGGCTGTAATGTTGGATTCTCTCTGATAGTTTTGCCCTTAATACGGCAGTCCTTTTTAGCGGAAAATTCTTCTAGCCATTTTTTGAGCTCAGTAAAGGCTGCCATTTCAGTCAGAAATACATGGTGGGGTCTTGCAAGTCTATGGGACAATTTAAATGCGGAGCACACACGAGGAGCCGTGCCTCCGAAGGCAGTCTGCACCCTCTAAGACGGCTCTGATGGCAGGATGAAAGAGGAGAACGCAGAAGTGCGAGTATGAATGCAGAACATGGGAAAGGTGAAATGTGGTACAACAACATGCTTCACCTCCACAAAACGAGACCTCCCTATCCCCAGAGTTAACTGTTGGGGAGTCAGTTTTGAACATCTGGATTTAGATTCAAGTGAGGAAAGCATGAGCTCTTCAGATCTCTTTCCCATCTTGGAAAAAGCCAGTCCCTTTTGAAACAAATACTTTTAAAATAATTTGTACCTAGTTTATAATAATCTATTTGAATAAGATAAAGTGTGTTTCAGTGTTTGGAATAGCTGTTTTAAAGCAATTCTGAAAGCTGTTCCTTGAGTTTTAATTCTGTGATTGAAAGACAATGAGATGCATTGTTTGAAAAGATTGAAGAAAACCAAAGAATTAAGGTGAAAATATTTGCACTAATTTATACATCTCTTACAGTGAGCTATTTTCCAACAGTTAAGTTAAAAAAAAATCTGAAATTCCTTCTTGCATCTCCCAAATGAAAATGACTCGTACGTGCTTTCCATAACAATAGCTTTGCCTATATGCAAAGGAGGTTTTTGGAGTTGTATTCATCAGCCTGAAAATACAGTTCATTAAATAAGAATAGGGGACATTTTAAAAATATGTAAGCTTTAATAAATGTTTATTAATTGATGACTGATTTATATCACTAATACCAGTGGGCAGCTGGCTACTCTAAACATATGTACATGGGACAGTGCTGCAGTGTTGGTTCTTCTTTTTTCTGTTTTGAAGGAGAAATTGCCATCTCTTGGCTAAAAAGCTACTCAATATTTTTTTTTTGTGGCAAAATGGAAGAGACAGATAAGCATATATGATGCATCGAGCTTCCTTATTTTAGTTGGCTTCTATAATTTCTGTAGTTTGCCTCGATAATATGACTGCTGACAACTTTTTGCAGTACATTTTTTGCATATGTGCTGATTTAGGAGGACTCTGTCTCAGATGCTTGTGCTTTCATTAACTGCCAGTGACATCCTTTTATGTGGTAGACAAAACATTTTAAAGGCATCCAAGTCCATCATTGTTTTAAATCTCTATTTCCCTTTCTAGCCTTTTTTTTCCACTTTTCTAGTTATATTTAAAGATACCAGGTGTCCAGCCTAGTCTTTGCAGAGACTGTCCATATAGTTCCTCGAGATCCAGTTGATTTCATGCCCCTTTCTGATTTTGAACCAGTGCATCAGACACTGATTAGAATAGTGTGGTGTAGAGCAGACAGTGAAAGGCAATGTCGTAATTTAGTTCTTGCAGCATGTAAGGAGCAACTGTAGTGAATTACCGAGGAAGCCTAAGACACAAACCCTAACAATTTTCAGTCCATCTCAGTGACAGCTTTGCCAGTTCTTGCAGTACCTTCAGGAGCAGATCTGTGGTCTGTGTGTTGCAGTGCCACGGGAAAGAACTGGGTTTAAAGATTTTTTTTTTTCTTGGAAGATTACTTTGGTGTTTTGGTTGGTTGGTTTTTTTTTTTTTTAAATTTCCAAAGGTTGTTCCTGAAATCAGTATCTCTGACATTATTTTATGAGTACCCTTTTGGGGAAAACACAAAATCAGTTGGAGAAACCCAAGACTTGGACACTCTTCAAGAAGGAAGCAGGGAGCTTGTAGCCTGTTTGCAGCACAAGAGCTGATTTTGACGTGGGTTTTGCACTTTACAAACCGTGTCCTAACCTTTTGGGTACTGTCACGTTTTTCACTCAGTTGCTATGAGAGTAGCTCTAAAATAAAGGTTGACATCAATGGAAAGAATTCCCTGCTCTAACAAAGAGGGAATGCCTGAGTGTTAGAAACATGGGTGCAAATCCTTTAGGCAGGAATTGAACGTGGATCTTCCACGTTCTGCACCCATTCTCCTCTTGCTTCTTTCTTCAGTTGTTTTCTTAGAATATGAAAGAAAAGAAGTCCTTATTTACTACATTCCTTCCTTTGAACATCAGATTGTAAGTAATAGTGTCTTTTTAAAAGACAAAACTGAGTTAATTATATCAAAATATATGGACATGCTTTCTTGTTGAGTCTGAGAAGATATAATGGGTCTGCTTTAAACATCATGTAATAGAACCACAGGCTTGCTAGGATAAATGATGTTTCAAAGGGCAAATTCAAATGTGAATGTGAACTCAATTTTAGGTTTGGGTATCCCTACAATATACTACAAGTCATTCCACACCTGCAGGTACCTTATGAAATAGAAAAGCCTAGCACTATTTCCCCTCGACCTGTGCATGTAAATGATATTCCCTTTCTGTTTGACTATTCTTCTGTTTCTTTGCTTTCCTTAAATTTTCTTTTATGCTTTCTGTGAATTATCAAAATACTTGGGTTTGGATCACTAAAAGCAATTTTGACTTTCAGTGCCCCTTTTAAGACTAAAGCATTTTTCTAGTCCTGAGAGTCAGCCAGATACAACTGTGCTGATATTGGAGAGGTTAGCTTAATGAATGGCTTTAACTCCCACTTATTTCAACTTTATGTACTTTAGGAGGAGCGCAGATGAAATGTAAATAATCAGTTACTTCAAAAAGCAAGCTATCCTTTTGCTTTCAGGTGATC